GAGAGAGAGAGAGAGAGAGAGAGAGAGAGAGAGAGAGATTCGGGCTCCCGCGGTGCATGCATCTCAACTTTCCGCGCCTGGCCCCTCCAAACATGGGCCATTTTTATTCCGTGGCCCGAAAGCCCCTTAGAGCCACGGAAAGAAGAATGAAACAGCACTCATCCAACATCGTCCTGTAGTCACGTGGGCGATCAGGTTTTCAACGGGGGGATGTGGGCGTGCTCCGAAGGACCGAGACCAAGAAGCAGGAAGATATCGACTCTTGGTTCACTGCAGAGGATCTACTTGAAAAATACCATAACAAACAATCACGCGTCGATCAAGTGATCGCTGTGTGCATGAAGGACTGAAGGATGCAGCTAATCCACCCCTCCTCCACACTCCTTCATGTATCCTCTGTCCTCTCCCCCTCCTCCCTCCAAGCCTTCTCGTTCAATTCCTTCTCCCAGCGCTCAGGACAAAGCGAACAGGACCCGGGCCCACCCTGATTTTCCAGGCGACGAGAGCATGATTCAATACAAGGCCCATGACTCAAGCAAGGCGAGTACTGCTACCAAAGTTTCATCAAAAAAAAACGATACACTGGGAGTCTCTCATCAGCGGGGACACTGCGCTGGAGATGGCCAAGAACATCGAAAACCTATTCTATATCGAGGGTGGGCCGAACATCGCGCGCGCGGCGCCCGAGGGGAAGGGGGCGGCCGCGCTGGGTAACAAGGTCAAGGTCTTCAATCCGAAGGGGCACTGTGATGCGTGGGGGGCTAAGGCGTCCGACTGGGCGACCCTCTACAGGGATTGCCACGGCAAGCTCAAGGAGAAGGACTGCAGAGACAAACAATGACGAAACGTAGGCAAGCAAGCAAGCAAGCAAGCAAGCAAGCAAGGAATCAATCGACCTAGCAAGCACGTAAGCAGATAAGGCTGCGCGGACAGGCAGGCAAGCAAGATGGCAAGGGATGGGCAAAGACGAACAAACGTGATACGCATGTGCAACAAAAACAAACAATATACGTAACACGGGGGCAACCTGTTTCCCCACGATCCTGCGGTGTTGGGCCCTCGTTTTGAAGAGACAGGTCACCCGCATCATCATCAGCAGCAGCATCGTCATCATCGTCATCAGTATCATCATCCCCATCATCATCCTCATCATCGTCATCACCACCACCATCGTCATCATACTCATCAACATCGTCATCACCATACTCATCATCATCATCGTTATCAACATCGCCATCGTCATAAGCACCACCATCATTATCAACATCATACTCATCAAACCTACTGCGCGCAGCCCGCAAACCGCTACGCCGACAAGCCCTGACAAGCTGGACAGATCTCCTGCCCGGGGGCTGCGCGCAGGAGATCAGTCCATTGTTTCTGCGGGTGCAGTGCTTGTCCTTAAGCTTGGGTGAATAAGGCGGGAAGCGTTCACCCCCCGAAAAAAAAAACAAACTCGTCATCATCATCATCCTCATCATCCTAATCAGGCTCCGTCATCATCATCATCAGCATCATCATCATCGCCGCCATCGTCATCATCATCATAACCATCATCATCACAATCATCATCAGCAGCATCGTCACCAGCATCGCCATCATCATCAACAACATGGCCATAATCATCATCACCACCCTCGACCTCATCATCATTGCCGTCATTATCAACATGTTCGCCACGATGTCGGCCCACCCCTTACCTTGTTCATGGCCCCCTTGAGAGCTCCACCGAAGACCATGTGGCAAGGTTCGCATGGCGGCCCGCCCTATTTCGGCACACCTCTCACACGCTTCGTGGCTCCATGAGAGCTCCACCGAAGGCCTCAGTGGCAATGTTCGCATGGCGGCCCCGCCCTATTTCGGCACGCCCCTCACGCGCTCCGTGGCCCCATAGGGAGCTCCACCGAAGGCCCCAGTGGCAGGGCCCGCATGAGCCCGACGCCCTGCACACCCCTCGCACTGCAGTTCGTGGCCCCGTAGGGAGCTCCACCGAAAGCCCAAGCAGCAGGGCTCGCATGGCGGCCCGCCCTATTTCGGCACGCCCCTCAAACGCTTCGTGGCCCCATAGGGAGCTCCACCAAAGGCCCAAGTGGCAGGGTTCGCATGGCGGCCCCGCCCCACTTCGGCACACCCCTCACGCGTTTCGCGGCCCCAGCGGAGCTCCATCGAAGGCCCCAGTGGCAGGGTTCTCATGGTGGCCCCGCCCCGTTGAGGCACGCCCCTGTGGCTCCATAGGTAGCTCCACCGAAGGCCCACATGCCAGTGCTCGCACGCGCCCATTACATCCATGTTGGCACACCCCTCACACGCTTCGTGGGCCCATAGGGAGCTCCACCGAATGTGGTGCATGCAACGACGGTGCCCACAACTACATATGTTCGGGCCCTTCGCCATGCTACTTTTTGGTTTGCGTTGGCCACCTCCTTCCATATAGGAGTGGGCGGTCCAGCTCTTGCCGCTCTTGCAGTCCGCTGCGAAGACGTTTGACGGGGTGGCGGGGAGGGAACGCGCGGCCTACATCCCGTCAGCTATCTTCTCCCACTCCACCCTTCATTGCCTCTCCTTTCCCTCGATCCCCTTCTTTCCCTCGCCCCCCTCCGCCCTTCCTTTTCACCTCCAGTCAATGCGGCCGACGGGTTGTGCCGCGCCTCCGCCCCCCCCACCCCGAAGGTGCACGGCGGCTTTGTTTCCATCTCCCCCAAGTTGCCGGGGGAACCCGAGGAGGGGAAGAAGGGGGGGGAGTGCCTTGACATGCTTCAGGGGGCCATCGAAAACTAGAAGCGTGCCGTGGCCCAATGCTCCGACGCCTTGGACGGCGCACAGAACATGCTCCCGGGGAAGAAACTGAAAACGCCGATTGAGCCCGCCGTGCCCGATTTTGCCAAATTTAGCCCGGCTCCCGCGCCTAAAGCAAAGGCGAAAGGCAAGCCCAAGGCCAAGCTTTCTGACCAGTGAACCCGTGAGCATATTTTTTGTAGGAGGCTCGTTGCGCGACGGTATTGCGACAGCATGGGTATATGATATTCCACCTCGAGGTGCAAGTCTAATCAGATCCGCCATGCCCGTCAATCCCCTCTTGCTTCTACCCATTCCTTCTGCCCGTTGCCCTCTCCTCCGCGCTCTCCCCATTCCCCCGGGGATTTTGGAACGCTGCTCAGTCGCGCTTGCTTCCCACTCGTGCTGTCCCCCGAGAGGCCTGCAGTGCGGCAAGGGCCCGCTTGCTCGTTCCCTCTCGCTCTCCTTGTCGCAGGCGTGCTGTCTCAATGCTTAGGCGCGCAGCGCTTGTGAATGAGGCGCGAGCCCGCAATGCTGCCGGCGCGCCCCATGCAGCTGCCCCTCCGGCGGCCAAGCGGCCCAACTTAGGACGCGCGGGTGCCCGCTTGGAATTTGCGAGGGAGCGTGGGGCGAAAGCGGCAAACGAGGGGAAACGCATGTTCACAATTACGTGGCCCCTGGGGATGGCGCCGTTCCTGCACCCTGGCAAATCCCAAGTGGGCACCCTCGAAGGATCTGATGCTGCCAGTTCTCGAGTGTCTGAACAATTGTTTGATGGTGTTTGTCGAGGAGACCTGCCAGTGACTGAGGCCCAGAGGCTGGCTTCGAATGTGGTGACAGGCTATGGGCCAGGGCAAGCGCTCGTGGATGGTTGGGCTTCGCTGGGGTCACATGGTCGCCGAAAGGGCAACTGCCACCGAGATTTGCGAAAGTGGGCTCAGACATTCGATGTTGATCTCGATGTTGGTTTTGTCAAGACCCCCGTTCGCAATTTAAAAGACCACGGGGCAGTGGAGGTCGACCACGCTATATTGCATCCCCATGAGGTTTTCGCAGCGGCCTGGGAGGCAGGGGAGGGCGCCTTCAATCAATTGTTCTGCCCTGGAGGGCACGCCGAATTAAGACATTCTTGGCGCCAGCAACGGAACCTCGACTGGGTGAAAGATCACCCTGGTTTCAGCGATTTGCACCATGAGAAGAAATGGTGTGTGCCCTTAGGGGTGCACGCCGATAAAGGTGAACATATCAAACGTGATAAGATATTGGCTGCATCTTGGGGGGGTCTTTTGTGTCGGGCGCCCGCTGAAATGAGCAGGATCCTTTTTACGATTATCCCGGACGAGATTCTGATTCCAGGGGCTACTGATGAGCGGATATACGCTGCCTTGACGTGGTCATTCCAATGGCTGTTGAGAGGGGAATGGCCACCAACGGATCACGACGGACAGGCATGGCCACACGGCTCCAGGCGCTACTTGAATGGCCCGGCAACATCATGCCTCGCAAGCGAGAGGGTTTTGTAAATTTGAAACACGAGGGCCTCCATCCCGGAGCCTCGCCTCCTCCTCTACCACCTCCCTTCCTTCCTTTCCAGGCACCTCGCTCATCCTCCTCATCGCTCCTCCTGTATTTCCATCCCTACCCTCCCCTCCTCCTACCTCCTCCCCCTCCTCCTCCTCCTCCTCCTCCTCCTCCTCCTCCTCCTCCTCCTCCTCCTCCTCCGCCTCCTCCTCCTCATCCCCCCTCCTCCTCCCCCCTCCCCCTTTGCCTCCTCCTCCTCCTCCCTCCCCTGCTCTTTTCCCTCCTTCAACAGCGAGGGGGGGTGCGGGCCGTGGGGACTTTTGGACCCGAGCCGAACTCTCGACGCAGGAAGCTTTAAAGGCCTTTTTGCAGAATACCGCGGCGACTGGGAATGGTCTGCCGATACGTTTGGCTGGAGGAACTGTTTTTTTTCCTCCTGCTGATTCGTCCTCCACTTCCACGTCCTCCTCCTGCTAATCCATCCTCCAACTCCACTCCTGCTGATCCGTCTACTTCTCCCTCCTCTACCCCCGTTCCCTCCCCCTCCATATTCTTCGCTTCTCGTCGACCCACCTCGTCCTCATCCGCTCTCCTGCCTCGCCCTCTCCTCCCGAAGTCTGCCCCCTCCTGTTGCTGCTGCTCTATGTCCCCATCCATCTTCTGCGCCACTGGCGCACCGTGCTGCTGGCACCCGCTTCGCTTTGTGTTTTAAGCCGCCTCCAGGGGTAAAGACACCGCCTCCAGGGGGTACAGGCACAACAGTTGCTGCCACCGAGATTTCGCCAGCAAGACCAATGAGCTGATGAAATTCACAGATTGGTCAGATACTGCGTTTTGGCGGGGCACTGCAATCACTAACCGAGATTACTTAGCACAGCCTGGCCCCAAGAGCGTGCTCACTACTATGCCCGGTTGGCAACTGTGCCGCACACGTATCGACGATATGCACTGCACAAAGCTCGGGGTGGGACATCATGTAATAGGTGGCGCACTTGTGTACTTGGTAAGTCAGCGTGCATATCGATATCTCGGCCCTGCAGTGTCAGAAACCATGCCTCCAAATACTGGCGCCCAAGACATGTTGGGCGATCTCGGCCTTCGCTTCAAAGAGTGGTTGAATGATCACTCGCTAAATTGCTCCATCAAGAGGTTCACTCTTAAACGCCTTCATCGTGATACGAATTCGTCGTATCCTTTTTTCAACTGCAAGGCCGCGCAGACTGCCCCTTTGGTTGCGTGGTTGGCTGACATCATGCTTCAGTGGACTGAATGCTGCCCGCCAGCCGAGAAGGAGACGGCCCTCATCACTTCAAACATGCTTTGGGGGTTATCTCGTTATTTCTGGGTGTGTAAAAACGGCGGCAGGTTTTTTACCCCCGCCGAGCGCAGTGATATTCATGAGGCAGGACATACATTTCTTTATATGTACTCTGAGTTGCGGCGGCCGTCCAACGAGAAAGGCTCGTTTTTGTGGCAGATTATTCCCAAGTTCCATCAATGCCACCATTTGGTGTTAGATTCGTTTGCCGACGGGTGCAACCCCAGGTTCTTCCACTGCTTTGGGGACGAGGATCAAGTTGGACGCATGCTGAAAATCGCCAGAGCCAGCCACGCATCGACAGTCGTGTTCAACACTGTAACACTTTTCTGGATTGGCCTGGTGAGGAGGCTGTCTTCTTTGTGATAGAACTCGGCCCTGTGCCGAACATAGCGCTAGTGGAAAACGCGGGAGAGGAGGAGGGGCGGGGGGAGAAGACGCCGATTTCAGGCCGACCGCTGCGCTGGACTGCCTCAGACCTGGACCCCGGGACGCCGGGGACGAGATGGGGAGGGGCAAGGATAAGAAACGTTCGGCTGCAGGGGCAGGCGTCATTCGGCGATACCTCCACCTGCTCCTCATCCTCCCTCCATCCCCCCTCTGCTCTTGCTCGTGTTCTTGCTCCTGCCCCTCTTGCTCACCTGCCCCCTCCCCTCCTCGTCCTCGAGCCTGCGGCGGATTGGACATCCAAGGGTGAACCTTGCAGGGGGAGGAAATCTGCCCTGTTGCTGAAATCATCGGCCCATTGGCGACGTGATCCCATCATGGCAGGGCGAGCCCCGACCCCTCCCTGCAGGGTTCGCCTTTAGATATCCAATCTGCCTTGTTCCTCTCTGGCACAATAGAAGCCTAGGGGGTAATTCCCGCGGAGATCTCGAGGACCTCGCCCTGCCTGCATGGTTGGGCGAGGCCCTCGAACTCTGGGCGAGGCCCTCGAGATCTCCACGGGAAGTGCTCTCTGGACTTCTATTGAGCCTAGCTTCTCTATGCTTCTCTCTAGGGCATCTGTCGCGCTGTAAATCCACGGGCGCGCCCCGCGGGGGAGGGTGGGGGGCCCTGCCCTGCAGTCGGGTGGGTGATCGGAGAAATAATCCGATGAACATGCATGGCAGGGCAGGTTCCCCCCACCCACCCCACTGGGCGTGCCCTCGGACATACTGCGCGCCAGGCCATCTGGAAGTCAAGGGGTACTCAAACACCAATTCGCCTCCTCCTCCTCCTCCTCCTCCTCCTGCCCCTTCTTTGAGTTACCCCTCGACTTCCAGTTGGCAGCTCTCGCATCGGAAATCCAGGGCCGACCCTAAAACACAGGGAGGAAGAGGGAAGCGAGAGAGGGAAACGGAAGAGGGGGGGATAGGGGGGAAGAGGAAAGGACCCTGGGGAGGTATACCCGAGGAGGGAGCGGAGAGGAGGTGAAGGGGAAGAACGGGGGCCCTGGATTTCCGATGCGCGCCGCCCCTCGCGTGCTCGCGTGCCCCGCCCCGCCGCCGCCCCGCCGCCGCCCCGCCGCCCCGCCCGCGCGTGCTTGCTTGCGAAGGGAGAGGGTGAGAAGACAAGGAGGAGGAGGAGAGGAGGAGGAGGAGGAGGAGGAAGGAGAGGAGAGGAAGAGGGGAGGAGAGGAGGGAAGAGGAGAAGAGGGCGGAGGTCATGGAGGACACGAGGATGATTGATGATGAGGATGAGGGTGATGATGATGGTGATGAGATGATGGTTGATGGTGATGATGACGATGATGATGCATGATGATGATGATGATATGATGATGATGATGATGATTGATGATTATGATATGATGATGATGATGATGATGATGGATGATGATGAGAGAGATGTTGATGATGCTGATAATGATTGATGGATGAGGGAGGAGGAGTAAGGAGAAGGAGGGGGAGAGGAGGAGGCGGGGGCGGAGGGGAGGAGGGGGGGGGAAAAGGGGGGAGAGGGGGGGGGGCGAGGGAGGAGGGGGAGGAGGACGAGGAGGAGGAGGAGGAGGAGGAGAAAGAGGAGGAGGAGAAAAAGGAGGAGGAAGACGAGGAGGAGGAGGGGGAGGAAGAGGACCACGAAGACGAGGAGGAGAACGAACAAAACACCATCCTCACCTTCCGCCTCCTCCTCCCCCACCGGGCCAGGCAGCGCCGCGAGCAGTCGCGGCGGGCCGTGATTCTTCTGATCCTCATCCTTTTTCCCCCCCTCCTCCCGCCCCGTTCCTTTCCTGCCCCCCCCGCCCCCTGCCCTCTTTCCCTCCGCCCTCCCTCCCCCGCGGGCGCCCCTGTGGGCCATTGGACTCGGTGTCGGCCTTGCTTCGCCGGCGTCCGCGTGGTCGTTGTGTCTCTGCCTTGCTGCCTGCTGCCTTGGCTTGCTTTGCTGTGCCTGCTGCCTGCTGCCTTGGCTTGCTTGATGTGTGTTGCTATGTTTTGCCATGCATGGTTATGCCTTCGACTTCGTTTCTGCGCTGTTGTTGCTATGCTGTGCCATGCAATGCTATGCATTTGCCCTTGTTGTTGCGCTGTTTTTGCTGTGTTTCCATGCGTTGCTATGCCTTGGTTGCCTTGATGCGTCTGGGTTGCCTTTGTTGTGCTCGTCTCCGTGTCTCGACCGTTTCGCCGTAGCACAAAATATACATACATAGGCACACACGCACACGTAGCATGTTTTAAAACATATATATATGTATATATATATAGAATGTGTACGCGTGCCGCACACACGTATATAACACATTATTATGATAAATCGTAGTCGTTCTGATTTTTTTTCAAAAAAACGCTGACATTTAAAGACGGAACATACGAAAATAAGCGCCTGAACAAACAAATCAGCGCCGATTGTCCCAGCCAACAACAACTCCATCCGGGCCCGATGCTTAGCTCTAAGCATCCCCGGGTCCAGCAACGTCACTGATGCTTAGCGCAAAGCATCCCCGGGCGGCCGAGATGCTCTGGGGAGGAGGTGGCGTGCGCCAACTGCGGTGAGTGCATCGTTGGCCCGTGCGGCAGCCGCGGGCTCCTTTGCGCCAGAGGCCCCTGCAATGCCGGACATGATGCAGTCCGTGACGACGTGCATGCATTCGCCGGCGCTGTCGATGGCAGCACAGAGCTCGAGCCGTTAGGCCTCGTGAGCTCACGCCCACTGCTCCGCCCTGCGGACGTTCTGACTGGCGTCCCGGATCCGTCCGGGCGCCTGGCGGCATTGGATGTGGGAATCATAGCGCCTATGGCGGCGGGAGCAGGCGACAACTGCGTGGAGACGATGGTCAGAAGCAGCGCCGAGCCGATGGCTGCCGGAGCGAGCTTGAGGACAGCGGAATGGAGAATCGGGCGATGGTTGTGGGCGCCTTCGGCCGCTTCCGCGACGAGTTCCTGAGGGCGCTGCAGTCGATTGCCCGGGCGCGCGCGAGACGGCGGGGCGCGGAGGCGCACGTGGAATTGCACCACGTGCAGACTCGGATCGCCGTCAGCATCTGTCGCTGCGCAGCCCGCATGGCGCGGGCGCACGCGCCGCTGGCCGTCGACGAGAACGACGCGGTCGACGAGCCCGCGGACGCGGCCGCCGGCCGTGGCCGAGAGGCGCGGGCGCCCTGGCGATGTCCCATGGGGCGGATTCCGCGGCCCCGGCGGCAGCTGCTGCGGCGGCCCCAGCGGCGGCGGCGGCGGCAGCAGCGGCAGCCCCCGCTTGACGACGCAACGATTGCCGCCCGTCCCCCGCCCCCGCCCGCCCGTCCTTCTCCGTCTTCTCCTCATTCCCCCTCCCGGCTCTCCCTGGCGACGGCTGGCCTTGCCCGCCCGCGCGCTGGTGCGAATTGCGTCTGCCGCGGCATCAATTCGTCGAGCGCAACGCCTCCCCTCCCCCCCTTCCTCCTCCCCTGTCCCCCCCCCCTCCCCCTGCCCCCTCCTCCTCTGCGTTGGGCGGGGCCGGCCAGGAGGCCGCGGCGCGGCTCCTCTGGGGGCCCGGGGCGGCCCCACCGTCGCCGCGAGCCAAAACATGCTCTCTGAGCAGCTCGGAGGCAGCTCCTTGGCAGCGCTTCCCGGGCTCGCGCCCACCTCCGAGGCAGGTCGTGGCGGCGCTATTGCCGGGGCGCCGCGGCCAGCACGCGCCACCTCGCAGATCTCGCGGAGCTCCAGGGAGACTCCCGCGCGCACTGCCAGGCCCGAGCTTCGCCCCGGCGTTTCGCAGCGGGTACGCAATAAAAAAGTTATCCCGGCAAAGCAACCTAACAGCGATGTGTAGGTGCATATCTGGAAGCATTCCCCTTAAGATTCAGATGAGAATCCAGTTGTCGAATTGTGCTGTTCTCGCAGTCTGCCCCCCCCCCCCCCCAGGTAGCGTTCGCGATGGACAGCGCCACAGACACAGCCTCACAGCTCAGGCCTGCCTCAGCCTCAGCCTCAGCCTCCTCAGCCTCAGCCTGCCTTCAGCCTCCGCCTTCAGGGCCTGCTGCACGGCCTCAGCCTTCAGTCTGCACTGGAGGAGGGGCACCTCAGCCCTCAGCCTCAGCCTCAGTGCATCAGCCAGCCTCAGCCCAGCCTGCCTCAGCATCAGCTGCCCTCAGCCTCAGGCCTCAGCGTCGGACTCCACCATCAAAATGAGGCCCGGGAGTGGAGTTCTGGGAACTCGAAGAACACGAAGTGGCCTACAGTTGGCTCCGGGCATTCAAAATCATGCCCAGGAATGGAGTTCTGGGAACTCGAAGACCACGAAGTGGCCTACAGTTGGCTCCGGGCATCCAGAATCTGGCCCGGGAATGGAGTTCGGGGAACTCGAAGACCACGAAGTGGCCTAGAGTTGGCTCCGGGCATCCAAAATCTGGCCCCGGAGTGGAGTTCTGGGAACTCGAAGAGCACAAAGTGGCCCACAGTTGGCTCCGGGCATTCAAAATGTGGCCCGGGAATGGAGTTTTGGGGGCTCGAAGACCACGAAGTGGCCTACAGTTGGCTCCGGGCATTCAAAAAGTTTTTTTTTGTTTTTTTTTTTTTTTTTTTTTTTTTTTTTTTTTTTTTTTTTTTTTTTTTTTTTTTTTTTTTTTTTTCTGCGAACCGGGAATGGAGTTCTGGGAAGTCGAAAGAGCACGACCCCTGAGGTCCTCAGGATCAGTTTATTTCGATCTTGGCTATTCGTCTTCCCATATGATGTTTAGCACGCGTGCAAAATTGATGTTTTTTTGTGCGACTATTCACGTTGTACATTCGCGTGTGACTTGCGCGCTGCGTATGCCGCGCGACGTCTTCGCGCGCCGACAACCCGCGCCGCGCCTTGAGATACGCGTGTTTACACCTTAGTCAAGCCGAACACGCTATACTTAAACCTACAACGGCGCACAGGGCCGCCCCTGAAACATCCCTTCGCTCCTCTTCTCCCAATCGCTCCCCTTTCCTTTTACCCTCCTCCTGGGGATGTTTCAGGGGCCGCCCCTGAAACATCCCTTCGCTCCTCTTCTCCCAATCGCTCCCCTTTCCGCTTTGTTCCCTCCCTGGGCGAGGGTTTCAGGGTGAGCCCCCCGTGGCCAGAAACATCCCCTTCGCT